CATTCTTTAAAACAAGACAAAAATATTTTCATGTCCTTATGTTAAACTTAGCCCTTGTTACATTTAGATATAACTAGATATTTACTTACAAGTGCAGCAGTCAACTTTTCCCCCATTATATTTGACAATACATTGTACTGTGCTGAGGTGTTCGTGCTTTCAAACAGTTTTTTTTTTTGTTTTGTCAGTGCTGTTGTTGAAATATGAATTCATTGTAATGAACATCTTTCCTGGAACAGCTGCAAAGCTCTTAAAATGAAACAAGAAGCATGACTTAACTGTCAAGGGTGCTCCCACAATGTCTTCACTTCACGTTGTCTTCACTTACATTTAATCATATAAAGTTAATATAAAGTGAAGACAAAGTGAAGCCAGGTTTTATAAAGACTGACTTTACTTAGTTTTCACTTGAGCTTCACTTAATATTCTCTCAAAGTGAAGTGAAGACCAAGTGAAGCTAACTGAAGACTGCATTGTGGGAGCACCCTTAAACGAATCACTGCTAATTCCCTCATTATTACTATTCTAGGTATGATTGATTTAGCCAACTGCCATGAGTGTTGCCCGCGCTGAATTTGCACTGTGTGTGTTTTCATGGGACAAGTCAGTGATCATGGAGCTTCCTGGATAACCAGGGTATGTACAGGGTTAATTCAGCTTTTAAAGACTGAATGCAAATCATTTAGAGGCTCAAACTATATTCTGTATTGTAGCAGGTTTAACCAAGTGTGTCTAAGGAGGTCCAAGAACGTCAGTGTCAGTTGTTTGCTGATTTCTACTGGAGAGTAACTTCGATTGTCAAAGTTCGTAATATGGCCTATTGAGACTCTCCGTAAAACTAGAGTGAGTGTATTCATCCTTTTCCCAGATAAATTTTTGTTAACTTCGAATAAGGCTTCAAGAGGTTTATTTAATTTTTCTTGGCTAATTAAGAGAGGGGCTGTCACAAAATCTCACTCTACTTTTTATTGAGTCTAGTCAAGTGTGGAAAATATTTAATGAAGACGTTTGCTTAACAATTTCTATCGTATTCCAGGCCTGCAAGTCCCTAAAGTCAATCACACTCTACTACTGCCAACAACATGACAACACACACGAGCACATGGATACCAGAAGGAAGCATAAAGAAGAGATGCAGGAACTCCAAAGACAGTTAAATGACAAGACTGACATTAGTCATTGTAAGGATGCTGAGGTCCAAGAACATCGGTGTCAGCAGTCTGCTTTAAGGTAAGTACAGGTTAGCTAAAAGCGACATGAAGATGAGCTTAGTATGTACATA